TCGTCCTGATCATGAACGCTGCAAAGTTAATTATACAAACTATCAGATTAACTAGATATATGCCTCCAACTATATACGTTAATTACTAGTAATTTGTTAAAAAAATGCGTCATATTCTTTTCAGGAAAATTTCACGACAGGGCAATGTTTAACAGTCCCGTTTACTCCGATGATTTTATAATCTATCTTTTTACCAAAAATAATGAAACAAATGCAATTTATTTAATATTTAATGCAATTCTTTTTTATTGTAAATTAAATTAATATTATTTCGTAAATTAGTATTCTTAAAAAGGCAATCTAGATAGAGCTTTATAAAAGCGATTAATCGAAATGACATGTGCTGAATAGAAGCAATAACAAACAATAATTTGTAAAATTGCTCTTGTGATTTACGCAATTGGTGGCTCAAATAACCGCTATTTTAAATATCGCATGTGACAGCTTTTATATATATTAATTCACGTCTGTGTTTGCCTGTCGCGCTTCGAGCAAAGCTATCCAGAGTTTAGAAACCGCAAGCTGCTTCCTGTGCAAGCTACTCCAAGCCTGATGCGCGGAGCGTTATAGCCCGGCTTACAACCGCAGTAACTGTGTCATGCTCCGTAACACAGTGGCTTTGTTAAAAGTCAAGTGTTTACGCGCTCTCGGGGCTCGTATCCCGCCTCAAAAGATCGATTAAATGATCTCTCACCTGCAAACTCCATCGACGATGAAGAGCAGATCCGTGCGAGCGATCAAGTATCCTGAAATACATCGTAGAAAACTCGAAAAGAATGGACGAAGGAAAAGCAAGAATTTCATAAAACTTTGAATAGGACTTTTTCGAGAATAAATAAATTCTCTTCTAAGCTAATTTCACATAGAGCCCTGAATTTATAAATCGTTTGAAATGGACGTAATTTGAAAAAAAAAATATTGATGAGATATAACGTTAAAATAATTTTTTAATCAAGTTTAGAGACATTTCGATGCACGAGAAAGATCTTGACACTTTTATAATTTAGCCACATTGCGAAAGCTGAAACGTTGATAACTATTGTAGAGCATTTTTATTATAATAATGTGGATATAAACAATATTAGTCATATATGTATAATGTAGAAATGTCAAGAGTGGTTTTGACAATAAATGTGTGTTGTATACAGAACTGGACTTTATATGCAAAAATTGAGTTTAAGTAATTTTTTGTATCTATATAATTGTATTTTTATTTTATTTGAAAAGAGAATTATATTTTCTAACTCTCGATTTTATTTCAAGGCTACACAAAATATTCAAATTTCTCTGAATAAATGTTTAGATATTCCTTAAGCGATGAAAAGAGAGCAATTTACTTGTAGGAGAATTAAACAAATTTACATTTAAATATTTATTTTATCTCTACTTTTTATATA